TTTTTCCAGAAATAACCACGAGAATGTTTTCTCCAGAAATAACCACGAGAATGTTTCTTCCCAGAAAACCACGAGAATGTTTTTCTTCCCAGAAATAACCACGAGAATGTTTCCTCCAGAAAACCAAACGAGAATGTTTCTTCCAGGAAAACCACGAAAAATGTTTCTTCCCAGAAAGAACCACGAGAAGTTTCTTCCAGAATTAACCAGGAGATGTTATCTTCCAGAATAACCCCACGAGAAATTTTGTCTTCCCAAAGGAAGAACCACGAGAATGTTGTTTCCAAAATAACACGAATGTGTCTTCCCAAGAAATAACCACGAGAATGTTATCTTCCCAGAAATAACCACGAGAATGTTATCTTCCCAGAAATAACCACGAGAATGTTATCTTCCCAGAAATAACCACGAGAATGTTGTCTTAGCATAAAGAACCACGAGAATGTTGTCTTCCCAGGATTAACCACGAGAATGTTATCTTCCCAGAAATAACCACGAGAATGTTATCTTCCCAGAAATAACCACGAGTATGTTGTCTTACCAGGAAGAACCACGAGAATGTTGTCTTCCCAGAAATAACCGCGAGAATGTTATCTTCCCAGAAATAACCACGAGAATGTTGTCTTCCGAGGAAGAACCACGAGAATGTTATCATCCAAGAAATAACCACGAGAACGTCATCTTCCCAGAAATAACCACGAGAATGTTGTCGTCCCAGAAATAACCACGAGAATGTTTTCTTCCCAGGAAGAACCACGAGAATGTTATCTTCCCAGAAATAACCACGAGAATGTTGTCGTCCCAGAAATAACCACGAGAATGTTATCTTCCCAGAAATAACCACGAGAATGTTATCTTCCCAGTAACGAAACCGAAACAGAGAATGTTATCTTCCCAGAAATAACCACGAGAATGCTATCTTCCCAGAAATAACCACGAGAATGTTGTCGTCCCAGAAATAACCACGAGAATGTTGTCTTACCAGGAAGAACCACGAGAATGTTGTCTTCCCAGGAAGAAAAACGAGAATGTTGGCTTCCCAGGAAGAACCACGAGAATGTTGTCTTACCAGGAAGAACAACGAGAATGTTGTCTTCCCACGAAGAACCACGAGAATGTTGTCTTCCCAGGAAGAACCACGAGAATGTTATCTTCCCAGGAAGAACCACGAGAATGTTGTCTTACCAGGAAGAACCACGAGAATGTTGTCTTCCCAGAAATAACCACGAGAATGTTGTCTTCCCAGGAAGAACCACGAGAATGTTGTCTTCCCAGGTAGAACCACGAGAATGTTATCTTCCCAGGAAGAACCACGAGAATGTTGTCTTACCAGGAAGAACCACGAGAATGTTGTCTTCCCAGAAATAACCACGAAAATGTTGTCTTACCAGGAAGAACCACGAGAATGTTATCTTCCCAGGAAGAACCATGAGAATATTGTCTTCCCAGGAAGAACCACGAGAATGTTGTCTTCCCAGGAAGAACCACGAGGATGTTGTCTTCCCAGGAAGAACCACGAGAATGTTGTCTTCCCAGGAAGAACCACGAGAATGTTGTCTTCCCAGGAAGAACCACGAGAATGTTATCTTCCTAGGAAGAACCACGAGAATTTTGTCTTCGCAGGAAGTACCACGAGAATGTTATCTTCCTAGGAAGAACCACGAGAATGTTGTCTTCCCAGGAGGAACCATGAGAATATTGTCTTCCCAGAAGAACCACGAGAATGTTGTCTTCCCAGGAAGAACCACGAGAATGTTGTCTTCCCAGGAAGAACCACGAGTATGTTGTCTTCCCAGGAAGAACCACGAGAATGTTGTCTTACCAGGAAGAACCACGAGAATGTTGTCTTCCCAGGAAGAACCACGAGAATGTTGTCTTCCCAGGAAGAACCACGAGAATGTTGTCTTACCAGGAAGAACCACGAAAATGTTGTCTTCCCAGGAAGAACCACGAGAATGTTGTCTTCCCAGGAAGAACCACGAGAATGTTGTCTTCCCAGTAGAACCACGAGAATGTGTCTTCCCAGGAAGAACCACGAGAATGTTGTCTTCCCAGGAAGAACCACGAGAATGTTGTCTTCCCAGGAAGAACCACGAGAATGTTGTCTTCCCAGGAAGAACCACGAGAATGTTGTCTTCCCAGGAAGAACCACGAGAATGTTGTCTTCCCAGGAAGAACCACGAGAATGTTGTCTTCCAGAAGAACACACGAGAATGTTGTCTTCCCAGGAAGAACCACGAGAATGTTGTCTTCACAGGAAGAACCACGAGATATGTTGTCTTCCCAGGAAGAACCACGAGAATGTTGTCTTCCCAGGAAGAACCAGGAGAATGTTGTCTTCCCAGGAAGAACCACGAGAAGTTGTCTTCCCAGGAAGAACCACGAGAATTTGTCTTCCCAGGAAGAACCACGAGAATGTTGTCTTCCCAGGAAGAACCACGAGAATGTTGTCTTCCCAGGAAGAACCACGAGAGTGTTGTCTTCTCAGGAAGAACCACGAGAATGTAGTCTTCCAGAAATAACCACGAGAATTGTTGTCTTCCCAGGAAGAACCACGAGAAGTTGTCTTCCCAGGAAGAACCACAAGAATGTTGTCTTCCCCAGGAAGAACCACGAGAATGTTGTCTTCCCAGGAAGAACCACGAGAATGTTGTCTTCCCAGGAAGAACCACGAGAATGTTGTCTTCCCAGGAAGAACCACAAGAATGTTGTCTTCCCAGGAAGAACCACGAGAATGTTGTCTTCCCAGGAAGAACCACGAGAATGTTGTCTTCCCAGGAAGAACCACGAGAATTGTTGTCTTCCCAGGAAGAACCACGAGAATGTTGTCTTCCCAGGAAAGAACCACGAGAATGTTGTCTTCCCAGGAAGAACCACGAGAATGTTGTCTTCCCAGGAAGAACCACGAGAATGTTGTCTTCCCAGGAAGAACCACGAGAATGTTGTCTTCCCAGGAAGAACCAGGAGAATGTTGTCTTCCCAGGAAGAACCACGAGAATGTTGTCTTCCCAGGAAGAACCACGAGAATGTTGTCTTCGCAGGAGGAACCACGAGTATGTTGTCTTCCCAGGAAGAACCACGAGAATGTTGTCTTCCCAGGAAGAACCACTAGAATGTTGTCTTCCCAGGAAGAACCACGAGAATGTTGTCTTCCCAGGAAGAACCACCAGGTTGTATAGCTTTCAATCATCTTATTAAAATAATAAGTTTATTTCTTTGCTTACGTTACAATGTGTGTTCACACGTTGTAATTTGATTGGAGCAAAGGAAGCCACTATCACGTCGAGGCATTTCATAAGAACTTAGGAAAGAAGGAACACTGCAGCAGGCCTGCGAGTCCTTGCGAGGTACGTCCAAGTCACCTCTAGGTTTAAACCCATGACCCACCTAGTCAGGTCAGGTCATATCCACTTAAGGAAGGGACACAGCATCAGACCTATTAGCACAAGCTAGTTAGGTCCAACTCACACCCACCCACACCCACTCATGTATTTATCTAACCTCTTTTTAAAACTACACAACGTCTTAGCTTCTAGACGGTACTCGGGAGTTTGTTCCACTCATCCACAACTCTATTACCAAACCAGTGCTTTCTTATATCCTTCTTAAATCAGAATTTTTCCAACTTAGGACCATTGCTGTCAGTCCTGTCTTGGCTGGATATTTTTAGCACGCTATTTATATTCCCTTTATTTATTCCTGTTTTCCATTTATACACCTCAATCATATCACCTAATTCTTCGCCTTTCTAGAGAGTGCAGATTCAGGGCCCTCAGTCTATCCTCATAGGGAAGATTTCTGATATGTGCGATCAACTTTGTGATCCTCCTTTGTACGTTTTCCAGTGCATTTATATCCGTCTTGTAATACGGTGACCAGAACTGTGCAGCATAATTTAAATGAGGCCTTACCAAAGATATATAGAGTTTAAGAACAACCTGTGGAGTCCTATTATTTATGCTCCTTGATATGTAGAGAAGGATTCTGTTCGCTTTATTGCGAACACTTATGTACTGTTGTCTTGGTTTTAGATTGCTGCTAATCAGAACTCCCAAACCCTTTTCGCAATCAGTAATATTAAGATCTAAATTATTTAGTTTATATGCCGCATGGTTTTTTCTTCTCCAATGTTTAGAACTTTGCATTTGTCTATATTAAATTGCATCTGCCACTTCTCCGACCACTGCATTAGTTTATTCAAACCTTCCTAGAGTGCTCTAATGTCCTCATTTGAATGAATAAGGCGACTTATTTTGGTGTCATCAGGAAACTTGCTAATGTCACTATTTATTCTCTCATCAATGTCGTTTATATAAACTGTGAACAACAAAGGGCCCAACACTGACCCCTGCGGAACACCGCTCGTGATTCGCCCGAGCTCTGATTTCTCCCCATTAATGTAAACTCTGTTGCCTATCTGCCAACCACACCTCGGCCCAGGAAAAATATTTCTCCTCTTATTCAGTGTACCTTATCTTCCTCAATAGCCTCTGATTTCTGGCAGACTTAACCTAATACTTATAGACTACTTAAGTCTAGACAGGTGAAGAGTGGTAGAATACAAATAGTCAATATTTCACTATTATTACTATGAGATAGTACAATTTTATATAATGTTACATTTTTAAGTTCGTCATTAAGTTCTTTTACAGTGGCAGTATAAAAATATTCTGTATTTCACTAATTATTAATACGAGATAGTGCAGTTATTGATACAAACATACATTTATAAGTTTGTAATAGCTTAATAGTTAAGGGATAATAAGAGGGGGAGTTGCTGTGAATTGTGTTGGGGTTTAGCATGGTGTGGGTATGTTTGTTGAGATATGAGATGATTTTTGAGTACGGTTCTAAACTGATTTGTGGGCAGGGGACTTTTTGCTGCTTCAGGCAAAGAGTTTGAGATCATCGGGCCCTGTGAAGGTTCTCTCAGGTCTATCAGACCCTCAAAGAGTATTTTGCTGGCGTCTCCTTATGGAAATAAAATGATAGAAATTCAATAATATAAATTTTTTTATTAATGATGAAAATGAGTAAAGAATATAAAATTCAAACATGAAATTAATCCTAATTGAAGAAAAAATGAAATAAATAATTAGTGATTCAAAACTAATATATAGAAGATGTAGTGTAGAATGGTGCCGTGACGTTGTTCTGGACACGTAGCTCTAAATTATTGTTTGGAACGCCGAACTGTTGTTGACGGGGCAGGGGGTCACAGCTGGTCGTGACTGTAGAAGCAGTAGATAGTGCCCCCAACACTAGTAAAGAGTCTGTTGACCAGAGGTTGATTGTGATCCTCTAACCACCACAATAATGTTAAAGCAGTTAAGTAGCCAGTCAAGAACCATCATGAACGCTGGTGTAATTACGACTGGGAGAAGACTGCTTGAATGGTGTGTAGTTGACTGGGTGGTTGGCTACATGTGGAAGGGAGAACAGTGTAAGTAGAGAGGTCCAGGTGACGTCTCCGATCTTGACTAGATCACTGCTGCCTTCATCTTTATCCCACAGGAGCCGGATGACCCGAGCCGACAATCAAGGCTAAAAATGAAAAAAATAAAACAGTTACACATCACTCGATCAATCACTCACACGACAGACGTATGGCCTTTAAAAGAAAAGGTGAGGATTAAAAGATGACAACACTGCATAATAAGGAATAAAGTGGAGGAATAAAGTGGAGTCTAAAACAAAAGTTAAGCTTTTACTGAAAGCAAATCCCAAACCATAATTTAGACAGGAGTGGAACGAATAGTTACAGATTTGATGGGAACCGCAAGTCAAATGACGAACAACAGGTTGGACACACTCGTCACCTCTCACCAGGTGGAGAAAGGGTGGGGTAGCGGGAACTATGTACCACCCTAACTGAACCAACAAACTACCCAACAAACTACCACTACCCTTCATTAATACTTCCACCACTCCTATCTAATGAACTTTTCCCTCACACTGCCCCATACCAAAATTAAAATTAAAATTAAATTAAAATTCTTTATTTCTCTGTTAATATTACAATGTGGGGTTTAAATATTATAATATCTTATAATAGGCCTAGGCATTTCGGGCAGACTTACACTAATTCTTACTCTATATTGACACAAGATATGGATCATATTGGTATTAAGGTTAGGTAATTGTAGTGATTAACAAGATTTACAAAACTGAGGCAGTTCAAAATATTTAAGAACTTAACAATTACTTTATCTATTAATGGAACTGGTCTCCATTTGGCATGATAGTGTTTCTATATTGGAGCGACTTAAGCAAACTTATGACTAGCTTAAGAATTATGATGCAATAACTGTATTCAGAATTTCATGTTTACAGTCATGTGTAAATTAGGGGGAGTCACAGATATCAATAAGTGTATTGTGCTTTGGATATGTGCAAGATAAAGTGGTTTTCATGTGTTTAGTTACCGGTGGTGTGTGTTAGGGAGATAAGTTTTTTTTTTAACGGTGCTTTTAAAAACGGTGGTTGTGTCTGCAGTTCTAGAGTTTTCAGGCAGGAAGTTCCAGACTTTAGTCCCTTTTATGTACACTGAATTTTTGTATATATTTAGCCGGACACGGGGAATGTCAAAGAGATGTTTGTGTATGGTATTATGTTTATGGGTCCTGTCACAACTATCAAGAAAGTGTTTTAGTTCAGGGTTAATATTGGAATTTATGGTTCTGTAGATGTAGATTGCAGAGTAGTAAGTGTGGATGTTCTGAACAGTGAGTAAGTTTAGGTCTTTGAAGAGTGTGGGGATGTGTTGCCTAGCATTGGATTGTGTGATAATTTTTACTGTGGCTTTTTGTTGGATTATTATTGGCTTTAGGTGGGTAATTGCTGCTGATCCCCAGGCACAAATGACATATGTGAGGTGGGGATAGATGAGTGAATAGTACAGAGTGAGTAGTGCTGATTACCGTATGTAGTAACGTATCTTTGAGAAGATCCCAACAGTTTTGTATACTTTTTTTGTTATGTGCTGTCGAGGTGTAGGCCCAAGAATTTTCCCTCGTTATGTTTAGCAATAAAAGTGTTGTCGATCTTAATGTTTAATTGTGCATCACCTGCTCTGTTACCAAACATAATATAGAAGGTTTCATCAGTGTTGAGTGTAATTTTATTGGCTCTCATCTATGTAGATATTTTTAGTAGTTCCTCATTAACAATAGTGTTGAACGTGACAAGATTTGGGTGGGAGATGACATAAGTTGTGATGTCAGCAAAGAGAATTGGTTTCAGGTGTGCAGGTGTGATACATTGGGAAGATCATTGATGTATAAGAGGAAGAGCAGGGGACCAAGGACACTTCCCTGTGGTACTCCAGTATCAAGTGGTCGTGTTGAGGAGGTTGTGTCTTTAATGGTGACATACTGATACCTATTAGTAAGGTAGGATTTGAAATATGCAAGTGCATGGCCTCTTATACCATAATGGTCAAGTTTGTGGAGTAGGATGTCGTAGTTATAAAAAGTATTATAGAATAAGATAGGGCAATGATATGGCAAATTACAAATATATAATAAAGTAGAAGAAATAATTAAGAAAGAGATTTGTTGATATTAAAAAATATTTAGACTATGAGGTAGAGTTGTAGTTGAACACTTATAGTCAAGGTATGTAAGAATTAACAAAAAAAATTTATAAAAATAAAAATCGTGTAAATTACCAATATTCTACTGACTGTCACGACTTAACCAGCCAGAGAAATAATTGGACAAACCATTGGTAGACACTATATGAAACTTGAAAGCTCATGAGGCGACTGTTGGTTCCCTTAAAAGTTTCTAGGTACATCATATGTTTATCATCTGTTTCTAAAATGATTTCTTTACCTAGTAGATAAAATTTAAGTTTTGAGATACCCCACACAAGGGCCAAACATTCCTTTTCAATGGTGGAGTATCTCGTTTCTGCAGGAAGGAGTTTCCGGCTCAGGAAGCATACAGGGAAGGGGGTACCTTCATGGTACTGCAATAGCACTGCACCTAGGCCGGTATTGGAGGCATCAGTTCTTAAACAAAATGGCTTACTGAAATCTGGAATCTTAAGTATGAGGTCCTTGGAAAAGATGCTCTTAATTGCGTTAAATTTTTCCAGAGCTTCGTCGGAAATTTCCAGATGTTGCCTCACAGACTTTTTAAGGTAGTCAGATAAGATTCCTGTAAGATCTGTAATACTGGGAATGAATTTTACATAGAAATTCACAGAGCCAAGAAAACTACGCATGAGCTTCTTGGTTCTGGGGAAAGAATTGTTAGAAAGAATGAATGCTAGATATCTAATTTGATTAAAACCAAGGAAGCATTTCTTCGACTTGGCAGTGAGGCCATGAGAGTGTAACCTACGTTAAGATTGATGTTAATGTCTGGATATACTTATCCCACGTGGATTTCATTACGTAGACTGTTATCAAAATAAACTGAAACAGGCATATTACCCAAGATCTTTCTCATCAAACTCACGTGGGTAGCACAGGCTGTCACCAGGCAGAAGGGCATCGTTCTATACTGCATCAGTCCTTGGTGATAGGAAAATCGGATTAGAGGAGGGATCTAACATGACTTGGTGACATGCTTGCGCAATATCAATTTCTGTAAAGAAAGATGCGTTATAAAATTTATGAATATCGCTATCTATGATGGGCATAGACTCAGCATCCCACCGAGTTATAGCATTAGGTTCCTCTAAAATCAGTCGAAAGCCTGTATGAATTGTCTTCTTTTTAACCATGACTACTGGTGAGCGATATGTCGATACTGAAGGTTCAGTTATATTTAAATTTAATAACCTGTCTACCTCTCTGTCAAATGCATCCCTAAGATGAACTGGAACTTGATATAGCTTCAGTTTTATAGGATTGTCCGTGATTAAGTCAATCCTATGGATTACAGTTGAGGTGACACCTGGAATATCAGTAAAGACATCAGAAAATTTACTCACATTTCAGTAGTTCATTTTTCTTATGATCATCTAAAGACTCGTTGATATTTACAACTGTAGTAACAGAGGATTCAAGAGCCACCACATCACGCAGTTCCTTGTCATCTTCAAAATTAGATTTGTCAGTTACGCACACATTGCACTCTTCAGTTTCCGTATCCTGTTTGTGTGAAAAAACTAAATCAATGTTATTAAGGCAATTGACAGAAATTCTTCTGTAATATTTCTTAAGAATGTTTATATGATAAACCTTGGGCTTCCCTTGACCTCTATGAGGTAATCAACCTTCCCACAAATCTTCAAAACTTTATAAGGACCTTTCCAAGCTACCAATAATTTATTTGATTTTGTTGGTAACAACACTAGAACTTCATCCCCTACTTTAAAACTTCTGACTTTTGGTATCAAAATAAGTTTTATATTGATCCATGTAAGTTTAGGTTTTTAGCAACTATGTCAGAGGTCTCCTCAAGTTTGGATCTTAGGTCAAGGAGAAACTGATAAGACTGAACCTCAGCATTTCCCTCCTCATTAGTCTACAAGTCATGAAGGATGAACAAAGGACCTCTGGCCTGTCTACCATAGAGAAGTTCGAAGGGTGAGAACCTAAAGAGTCACTGGGAACTTCCCTCATGACAAACAAAGCACAGGGTAGATAACGATGCCACTCCTTAAGCTTAAGGAAGCAAAGTTCTTTAAAATGAACTTGAGAATGGAGTGCTGGCGCTCAATCCTCCCATTACAGCTAGGATAATATGGTGTGGTGAAGAGAGGTTTTACTCCCAGAAGTTGGCAAAGTTGCTGCATTAGGGCAGAGGTGAACCGTGTACGAAACTCCAACAAAATCTCTCTGGGGATGCCAATCCTGGAAAAGATGAATAGAAGAGCTTCAACTACCTCTGCAGTAGTTATAGATTTCAAGGGTAAGGGTTCAGGGAAACTCGAAGCATTATCTTCTAATGTTAGAATATATCTATGTCCTCCAGATGAAAGTGGTGATAAACGACCAACGAAGTCAATAGCTCCTCTCTCAAAAGATACTGTAAAGAATTTGCCCACAGGTATTCGCCGGGGACCTCGGGAGGATGACAGCTGCCAAATTGACATGATCTACAGTGTGTAGTAATATCAGAGAACATTTTAGGCCAAAAATATACTTCCTTAATTTTATTCAAGGTTTTACGATGAGAAAAATGTCCGGCCACTGGCAGGACATTTTAAGAACAGTCTCTCTGCAATGGCTCAGAACAACCAAAATGGAATAGTTTGCTCACTGGAATTAGCTTTAAACACAGATTTCTACAAGATACTCTTAATATACTCAAATTATATGAAAAGTTTCTCCTTTAGATAACTTTTCTTTATAGCAGAATTATAGCAATTCTGAAGTGAAGGGCAGTTACTTTGTAAATTGACAAAGTCATCCTTGGATATTTCCAGAGGCTTAAAGTCTGGGAAAATCAAAGGATGAATAGTAGGAGAAGCCTGAACTTTGGTCTGAGTCCTAGCCAAGACATTTATAGTATCGGAGGCGATATCCTCCCTTTCATCCAACAAGTGAACAGATGTTCCTGCTACCTCACTTTCGAGGGCAGTATAATCTGTTTATACCTTCAAATGAATATTATCATGAGAAATTCCCATTTCCGGAACGAAACTCTCAAGGAGTTTCTCGAACTTTTAGGAAGAGGAGCTGAAGAACTTAGGTCCCCCTGAAGGTGACGAAAGGTCAGCCTCGGGAGGAAGAACGGCACCTTTTACATTACCTATCAGTACAGAGCAAGAGGTGATGGGGGCTAGTACGGCATCAGTCCAGCCTGTGAACCACTGAGATCTTATGTAACAATGGATGGTAGGGAATGTGTCTGTATGGCCCAAGTTGTCTGAAAGGATAGCAGAGACATGAGTGGTTTTAAGGACAGGGAACAGCTTGTTAGAAATTACGATGCACTTACATCGTGTCATGTAATATGTTGATACATAAATTCCATTAACTGTTCCAGAGCAGAATGGTGCCTTGTCATTACAGTCTCTAAAACTATTTTGGCCGAGCTTTAATGCAGCATACCTGAAATCCTTTCTATAAGAGTTCGGGGTCTTCTGGTATGCTTTAAGGATTGCCTTCTTAAGTTATAATCACAAATGATCTCCTGTGATAGTGGCATAGATATTTAATGCTGTACCAGAAAATAACATGCCTAACCTGGGAGCCCAGGTATCAAAGGGCCATTCACAGAGGGTAGAGGTATTTTCGAACCTAACAATGTATGAAGTTATATCTTCACCCTATGTGAAGGGAGGTAAATTAGGCATAGGAACATTTGGACTGCAGAATGCTTCTATTACCCCTTCTTCTAATTTCTGTTGCATGAATACTAACTTCCTATTTTCCAACTCAAGGTGTGGTTTCTCTACCTCATGATCTTTCTCTTTCTTTTAGTTCAAGCTCTCTAGCTTTTTCTTCCCGTTCCCTATCTTTGCTCTTTCTGTGCCCTTTCTATGCATACTCTAGCTCTCTCTTCATGATCAAGTCTGTCTCACTCCTTTTTGTCTTCTTTCTCTCAATTCCTTCTCCTTTTTCTCTTCTCTCAGTTCTCTCCTCTCTCAATTTAATCCTTTCTTGAATCTTAGCAGTAATAAAAGATTCAAGATTCTTCCCAAATTACTTCCGGTGTTCAAACATTTTTATTATAATCAGAAAGAGGCACTAAACCACAAGGGTCATACAGTGCAGCAGAGCAGGGAAGGATGCAGAGGTAACGGGTAGTAAGAGGGAAAGGGATGATTATTAGGTTACGAAGTGTTGTGAGGCAGTGGATAGTGCTGGGGTATAGGGTAGCTAGAGATTAAGATGGAAAGGGCTAAGAAGAGTGCCAGAGACATCATCATCAGAGTTTGTGTAGTAAATCAGTTGCTGTCAAAAAGGCAGTGAGAGAGTCTGGATTAAAGGAGGGTCCGTCACCAAGAAGGGAAGGTAAGGAAAGGGCAGCAGAGCAGAGACGACGTTGAAGGTATATTCTGCTTGCTCATTCATAGAGTGGGCAGTCTAACAGAATGTGGCTAACAGATACTGGAACTTGACAATTCTCACAGAGAGGAACAGGACGCCTCTCCATGAGATACCCGTGAGTAAGACGAGTGTGGCCGATGCGAAGACAGGAGAGAGTAGTCTCCCAACCTCGACACCGATGACAAGAAGATGGCCAGAAGCCTATACTTGGCTTAACAGAATGAAGTTTGTTATGGAGCAGATCAGACCAACGTTGTTGCCAACGGGTGTGAAAATGGGTAGCAATTACAGCAAAATAGTCCATGAATGGAACACCTCTATATGAAACTGGGAGGTCATGTACTGCTGACCGCACAGCAGTCTGCCTGTTCCTTGTCCTGTACATCAACATGACCAGGGACCCAGGAAAAAACAATATCTCTGTTTGCTAGAGACACGGCATAACCAAAGTTGGATACGAAGAACTAGGGAGTGAGGTGTATCAATTTTTTATATAGCCTGTAAAGCACTAAGGGAGTCTGAAATGACCACAAATGGTGACACAGGCATAGATGCAATATGGATAAGTGCTACCAGAATGGCATACAATTTAGCCATAAAAATGCTAGTTGAGGGTAATAATTGCCCTTGCACAACACTGGAAACACTGCTGCGAATCTGACGCCATCAGAAGACTTAGAACCATCGGTGTACACTGTGATAGCATGAGAATGAGAGCAGAAGTGTTCAAGAAAAAGAGAGAACAGACACGAACAGCCGGAACTTCCCACAGGGGCGGGGAAAAGTGAGAGGTGGTAACTGAAGAGAAGACAAGAGCGAATGTAGGTGGAGAGAAAAGGGATGGAGTAAACAGGGGCGACAAACAAATAAAGAACGTTTACTAACATCAGTGACTGTCCTACATACAGAAGGATTGTAGAGGTCATGGGATTGAACATAATAGTGAAGGCAATGAGCGATCAGACAAGGATGAAAAATTCGCCTCTGTATAGAGGCTCTCAACAGGGGATGAACGAAAGGCACCAAGGCACAGGCAGAGACCTTGGTGATGAATAGGATATAACTTAGATAGAGTTGCAGGAGAAGCAGCAGAATAGATCTAGTCACCATGATCTAGTTTGGACAAGACTAGGGTGGAATGCAAATGAAGGAGAGTGCGGCGATCTGCTCCCCATGAACGATGTGCAAGAACCTTAAGAAGGTTTAGCCGACTATGGCAAGTTGTCTTTAACGAAGAAATGTGAGGTTTCCACGTCAGCTGGCGGTCAAAGAGCAGGCCCAGAAACCTGACCGTACCACATGTCAGAATACATGAACCGTGTAAGTACAAGGGAGTGTCCGGTATCAGCGGGCGTCTAGTGAAGGTAATGAATCGGCTTTTTGTACTGGAAAATTTAAAGCCATGAGAAGTGGTTCAATGGGAGACTCGGTCTATCACTACCTGAAGGGAGGTTGCTACCAGTCGACAGTCAGCGCCCGAGTAAGTTATGGCAAAGTCATCAACATAAAGTGATGACAAAATATGCGAAGGAAGAATGAAAGGTAGGTTATTTATAGCTAAGAGAAAAAGAGTATCACTGAGGGCACATTCTTGAGGGACTTCTTCGGCTTGTACAAAGTCTGAGGAAAGCAAGGCTCCGGTACGGACCTGAAAATGTCTATTGGACAAGAAAGCAGCGATGAAGTTTGGTAGATTACTGCGGAGGCCTAAGGAGTGGGCTTGGGCTAGAATGTTATACCTCCAAGTGGTGTCATATGCCTTCTCTAGATCGAAAAAGATCACTAGGACAGAGTGGTTGTTAATAAAGCATTTCGAATATATGTATCGAAGTGGAGCAGGTGGTTTAAAGTAGAGAGGCCTTTGTGAAAGCCATATTGGTAAGGGGAAAGGCTATTGTGTGTCTCTAAGAACCACATCAGACGTCTATTCACCAATCATTTCATCACCTTGCAGACCACACTGGTCAGGGTAATGGGACGATAGTGAAAGGTGTCAAGCCCTGAGGTGCCAGGTTTGCGGAACGGTAGTACAATAGCTGATTTCCAGTGTTGTGGGAGAACCCCTTGCTCCCAAATTAGATTTAAAAGACTTAAAAGAACAGGAAGAGCCGTAGAATGGAGATGGTGTAACATACTGATGTGGATATCGTCAGGTCCCAGTGCCGATGGCCGGCACATGGAAAGCATGGACTCCAACTCTAGAAGAGTAAAAGGTACATTATATGGCTCCAATCCATTGGAGAAGAAATCTAAGGGAAATTGCTCTCTGGTAGGTTTAGGTGTAAGAAATGAGGGACAGAGGTGAAGCCCTCGGGAGATACAGACAAGATAGTTCCCAATTTCTGTGGCAACCCACAAAATGGGAGCTGGGTCTGGAGTGTACCTACCATACAATTTCTGCACCTTTTCCCAAATCGCGCACATAGGGGAAGACAAGGTACTGGAAGACACGCAGTCTTGCCAACAAGCGCATTAGCTTCATGTATGATGTGGCAAGCAGCTGCCCTTGCCTGTTTAAAATCCAACAGACGCTCTGCGGTACAGTTATGTCGATAACGGTCATATGCAGCATGTTTTAAACACACTGTGCAGGCGCACGTAGGAGCCCACCAAGGTACGCATGTCTGAGAATGCCTACCTGAGGTTTGGGGGTTGGAACTAGTTGCCGCAGTCAAGAATAAGGTCGAAAATTGGTGCTCCAGTTCATCAATAGACGACGAAAGGGGGTCCTTGCAACAGGTGGTAAGACGGGAGTATAATTCCCAGTCTGCTCGAGCAAATTGCCAACGAAGGTTACGAAACGGTTGGGTATATGTAGCAGAAGTAAGAAGGATAGGAAAGTGATCACTATCATGTAAATCTGGAAGAACAGACCACATGAAATCAAGTGCAATGGGTGAGTAACAGATGGAAAGATCAGTGCAGGAGAGAGACTGAGTGTGAGAGTCAAAATGGGTAGGAGCACCTGTATTTAAAACATGAAGAGGGTAAGAAGTGAGAAGAGTCTCCAAGTGATCACCACGTGAGTTGCAGTGGGACCCTCCCCACAGGTGATGGTGAGCGTTAAAGTTACCCAACAGCAAGATGGGTGGAAAAGAGAAGAAATTAAAAATGCAATACCAGAGATACAGAATGCACAGGAGGGAGAGAGATACAGAGAGGAAACTGTAAGCCATCTGTGTAAATAAATCCGAGCTGCAGTATAATGCAACAGGGAACGAATAAAAACTTGTTGATACGGTATATTAATGCACAAAAGAAGCATGCTTTCATTAAAAGATTTGTCAGCTAAAGGATCTGAAGAATATAATAGCATGTAGCCTGAAATGGGGTGAATGACAGCAGAACGAATTTTGGGCTCTTGCAACCCAATACATACTGGGGACAACTAGAAGAGCAACACCTGGAGTTCTCCCTGATTGCCCCTAAGGCCACGAATATTCCATTGTAAAAAAGACATTATGTACAGAAATAAAACTGGCAACAATAAAAAATGATAAAACCTATGGGCTATTAGGATCTGTAAAGTCAACGTGTAGGGGTAACGGTAAGCATGTAAGCAAGGAAGAATGTGAATGTTACGGAGGAATAGATTGTTGCGAGGGTCGTGAATAGAAGGAGTGGAGGGAGTCCTGGTGTCCATCAGAGGTGTTGTCTCTGCAATATAGCTGGAAATAGCATCTAATGTCTCAGTCGTTAAGGAAGCCGATGATACCATGATGTCAGAGACAGGAGAGGCATTGCAAGGAAAGGTTGGAGGAACTACAGAGGTAACCAAAGAGGTCTGAAGGGGGCAGGGAGTACGAACCTGGAGAGATGCATCGGCTGGAGTAGAAGAGGCCTGCAGTGTAACAGGAGAGGAAGGAGGCTGGAGGGTAACTATGAAGGAAGACAGGGGGGAACAGAAGAAGAGGAGACTTCATGAGAAGGAGGGTGAACCTCTACCTTCATGTGAGAGCTGGAAAGAGGGTGAGAATGAGGCTCTGAGGTAGGAGATATATTTTGTGCAGGTGATGGATGAAAAGAAAGCGAAGGTCTGCAAGGTTTCATAGATTGCATAGATTGAGAAGGAAGCAAGTGAGATGAAGAAGTAGAAGGAGGAAGTGGTGTGGAGATAGGAGAGTCAAGAATTAGAAACTGGGGCAACCCCGGAAGACACAGATGCAGAGAGACTGAGAAGTGGGAGGATCGTCGATGTTGGAGGTCTTCGGGCTACCTGAGCATACAGGACATGAGGGAGTTTACCTTGAAGGCGGAGCTGAGAGACAGCCATAGTGTAAGTGAGGCCCTCACACTCCTTACGATAAAGGATCTCTCGTTCATTATGATAAACCTGGCAACGGCATGAAAAGGAAAGATGAGGCTCCTGCAATTAAGACAAGATGGGGGAAGACTACACGACATATTGGAATGATCTGCTGCACCACTGACCGGGCATCCTGCTGCAGATCTGCAGTGTTTAGCAGGGTGTCCAAAATGCCAGCAATTACGACACTGTTGGGGAGTGGGAACAACTTGATGGACCTCAAGACGATGGCCAGCAATACAGAGGACGGAAGCTCACAGCAGTCAAAGGTTAAACGAGTGATGTTACTAGGAAAGCACCTCCACCCATTAGCAGGCAGGATGTACGTATCTATCTTGAGGATAGGGAGGTTTTGAAGGGCTAATTGTTCTAAAATATCCTCGCCACAAGACAAAAAAATCACTCTGTACAACGGTACATGGCAAGACCACAGTACCACTGCAAGAATTAAGAGTAACATGCTTACAAGCAGTGACTGGTATGTTATCTATGGAAGTGATGCAGGAGAGGGCATGGGCTTGCTCTAAATTCTGCATTGTTATGACACGTGCTCTGCTTCGAAGAGCATGGAAAGATATATTTTGACCAACATGCTGTAAAAGAGCTTTACCAATTCTGTGGTCAGAAAGATAATCAGTTTGAGATATTGTTTGTAAAGAAAAGAATTTTGTCCATTGTGTACTCATTAGTCCAGTATTCAAAGGTAGTGAGTGTCATGTAGGTCATTTTTGAGCGGTCATTGATGAATTGTCGTCAGTAGGTTGTCGTGGATGCTTAGGAGTAGAACCGTGGGTGGTCTGACCCGAGGGAGGTGGGTGATCCGAGAACTGTCGCACTGCATTTGGGGAAGCCGGACGCATTGTGAAAGTCGTGCTAGAAACAGTGGTATGACCTGAAGCACCTGAAGCAGATGATGAAGCGTCACCGGCAGAAGGTACAGGGGTATGAGAAGAGTCGAGAGAATGGTCCAATAATGAAGCCGGGTCAGAACAGGGTGTGGGATCAGAATGGGGTCTGGGAGGACAGAGGGTTACACCAGGTGAAGATTCCATAATAATAGGTGCAATGTCTGTGATATCTCCTTTCTTGTTATTTTAAGAAAAAAAGAAAGAAGGAAAGAATAAAAAAGAGGTACAGCAGAGGGACAGTTGCTAGGAGGTATGGAGGGGCCAAAAGCTCCTCCCCTCATCTGAGAGGACCTCGAGCCTATTGGCAGTGAAAATGCAGCATGGAACCCGTGCCATACCCTACCCTTCATGCCAGTAAACCTGCGCTCTGGGATAGCAGCCTCACAAGCCTCACCAAGCTACCTCAGCGGACAAAAGAAAGGATGGTCGGAAGCCCGCCACAAAGCATACCTCCTTCGGCTGTCACCCCCTAGAACCGGCAGGCAGCTATCGGAGATACACCCATCATCCAAAGGGCACCCCACCCACAACCTGGAAACTGGGTAGGGAGTAGGGCATCCTCAGACAATTCAGATTTCATGGCAAACCACACCACCCCCGAGGGACCTCATTGAGGGAGAAGAACCCCAGCATGCCACCCCCACCTAGAAACCACAATGCCAGAGGGAAGAATCCTAGAGGCTACAAATGGGATGGGGAAAAGGGGAGGGTTGGGAGAGGGAAGGGAAAAAAGGGGGGAATGGGGTGGAAGGGATAGGGAAGGGGGGATTGGGGGGTAATTAGGTTCGGTCAGAGGAAGAAGACCAAGAGGTCCAATTCCTCAGACTGATATCCTCTTTACCACGATAAGGAGCCCCCCTTAAAGAGATGGTGTTCAACCAAAACTGATATTCCTCCATGCTTGCAAACTTAACTACTAGCAAAATTGAAACAGATATTAAAGAAAATGGAGGGTTCTATTCCGGCTCTGATCAAACTAGTAAGTAGAAAGGGGTCCATTGACCATCCAATCTTCTCACCAATAAATCTAGAGTGTCCTAAAACAATTTCCTTGATATAATAAGTAGAGCTCAGTGAAGTAACTTGTCCTTGGAAAATCTTAGGTCCCTAGAGTCTATCCCTCGAAATTGCTTCAAGCTCCAAAACAAACGGTGGCAGTAATTACTAGTTATATCCTGCCCTGATTTGACTTATACAAAATTGAGACTATAACAATCACCACATCTTTTAAATACCTGTACTGTAGTCCTACCATAGAAAATGATTACTTATTGGGTGGTTGTAACCGTCTGCTAAGTCTGTGTGTAATAAGGCTTCGACGTTGATGTTGGCGTTCCAACTGTGTCTGAATTTGTGGATGATCCTGGCAAGGTCGCCACTTCACTAGTAAGTGAAGGTTCTCTCAGCCCTATCAGAACCTCTGAGTATTTGATAAGGCTGGCTCCTCCTTATGGAAATAAAAAGATACAAAATTAAATAATAGCATAAGATAAACAATATTATTAATCAAGAAAACGAGTAAAGAATATAAAACACTCAAACATGAAATTAATCCTAATTGAAGCAAAAATGAAATAAATAACTTTAAGCAAAAATTAAATATATAAATAATTAGTGACTCAAAGCTAATATGTACAAAATGTAGCATAGAATGGTGTGGTGCCAATGTTCAGGGCACATAGCTCTGAATTGTGGTTGGGAACTCCGAGCCGTTGTTGATGATGGGGGGGGGGGGTCACAGCTGGTTATGAGTGTAGAAGCAGTAGTGTCCCCAACACCAGTAAAGATTTGGTTAACCAGAGGTCGATTGTGATCCTCTAACCACCACAATAATATTGAAGCAGTTAAGTAGCCAGTCAAGAACCACCACTAATACTAGTGTAATTATAACCGGGAGAAGGTAGCTTGAATGGTGTGTAGCTGACTGGGTGGTTGGCTACATGTGGAAGGGAGAACAGTGTAGTCAGAGAGGTCCAGGTGACGTCTCCAGTCTTCACAAGTTCACTGCAGATCTTATCTTTATTCTGCATGAGCTGGATGACCCGAGCCGACAATCAAGGCTAAAAATAAAAAAAAAGACACATAGTTACATACTACTCGATCACTCACACGTACGGCCTTTAAAAGAAATGGTGAGGATTTAAAGAGGACAACACTGCATAAATTCAAAACAAGGCAGGAATAAAGTGGAGTATAAAACAAGAGTTAAGCTCTTACTGAAACCAAATCCCACAACATAATAATTCAGACAGGAGTGGAATGAATACTTAGACTTGATGGAAGCCGCAAGTCAAGTGAATAACCACAGATCAGATACACACTCATCACCTCTCACCGGGTGGAGAAAGGGAAGCTGGGTGGGAACTATACACTCACCCTGACTAAACCAACAAAATGCCCAACAAACTACCACCACCATTCATACATACTTCCACATTCCTATCTACTGAACTTTTCCCTCACAGGCCCTATATGTGCATTGCATTTTTGCAATGCACAATGCAACGTCATGTAGGAATACTCTCACATAAATTCTTGAGGGTTTGGAGAGGTATATTATTCTATGTCTCATGTAGAGCAGCCTCCAGCCATGGGATGGAACTGATATCCTTTCCCAGTAAACTTCATTTCTCTATTGACCAGAGGTTCTCAATAGGGTTTAGGTCTGGGGAATTGCCTGGCCAGTTATTAAAGAACCTCACTTCACAGTCCTTAAGCCACTGAACTACAGATTTGGCGGTATGACACAGTGTACTGTCCTGGATAAAAACTGTAGCCCCACACTTGTCAAATGCCTCAGGTAAACTGTCACACAATAACTCTAGGTAATTAT